GAGTGCGTCAAAGGGGATCTGAAGGGACGTGCCTCACGTGCCAGGGGTCCGACGGTCCTTCCTTGCCGCTTTTTATTCCTCCCTCGTTCTTCCCCCCCCTCGGGCAGCCCCTCTGTCCCCGAACCTACCAATCGTTGAAAAAACTGTTGGCAATGAGCCCACAGGGGCTTAAGACCCGCGTCTCTCCTGCATGTCAGATTTTTGTTTGTGTTTATTTTAACAAATGGGGGAAGGTCATCGTGAGAGACCATTCCAAGGAAAGAGAGGCGTGTGGAGGGGAGACAAGGCAGTTGCCAGGCAGGGGGGTCAACGCACGATCGGGAGCCTTTTGAGTAGAAGACATACTCACCTGCCACGTTGATGGTCCGCAGAGGATCGCAGTCGGACAGTTCCGCTTCCGAAAGAATGTTGCCCATAAGCTGGGCATCGGAGCGGGATTTGACGTACCGGCGATGGTTCTAGATAGAGGACAGTCAATTACGAAGATCAGCCGTCGGCAGGACTCTCCCCCCACTGCCTTGATACCCTCCCCCTGATTTTCATAGGTCCACCATCCAGTCCCGGACGCACCTGATAGAAGTTATCGAGCTGGTAGTAGACGTAAATGGGGGCTTTCATCTCCCTGGTGATGTCGAATGTGACCGTGCAAGGGGGGTGGGCGGAGGCCTCGTTGGGGTCCAGAATCTGACAGTCCGCCAAAGATTCAGGCGTACCCTCCCCATCGTATTGAAGCGAGTACTCGACAATAGCGTCGGATTGTATTTTGAGAACGATGCCCAATGGGACGAAGATCAGGCCTGGCGGGCATGGGACAGGGTGAGGATGAAGCGTGCGTGAAGAAAAGTCCATCGACACGTCGTCATGAATCAGGAAGAGCAACTTTTACGGTGTTTTTAATCCAGAAGCCATCGTATGACAGGGCTTGCTGATGGAGGAAATGCCGTTGAGTATCGGGAAATATGCCTATCTCAGGAGGTCTTCAAGCAACGTACCGACGAGAGTGAAGGTTATAATTACCCATTTAGGGGTCAAAATAGGCTGCCAGGCCGGAAGTCTTTGTTGCTTAAAAGCCGTATCTATGGGCGGAGAATATAGATCGTGCGGTGAATGACTTTTCCGTTTTTCTGGCTTTCCATTCCTTGTGTAAAGCAACAGTACTCGCCCGAGCGTGGTCCTCGTCTCTCCCACAAAAGCTCCCCACTTCAGGGAAGCAATGCGGTGCCCTCCGATTCGTGTGAGTATGGACGTACCTTCAGGTTTCCGACTTTTTAAAGGGACGGTCTCGGAATTTGATTGGCCCGCCATGTCGTGTGACGTAGAGGAAGGGAATTTCAATGCCTTCTGCGCCGCTGTGTGTAAACGAAATTCCTCGTTCTCACCGGCGGCAGCCCCAAGAAATCGGACCGTGAACCTGTCACTCTGCTATGGCATTCATATGGGGTGAGCGGGGCCGTCGGCGTGAGTTGGAGCAGGCATAAGCCATACAGGAGTGGCGGGCATGAATTACGAAAGAGGGAGGGGCATGCTCGCTGAAAGGGAAAGAGCGAGCACTCGAAAGTGGGGTGAGATGGAACAGGTGGGGTTTAGAGGCGGTCTGTGTGAGCAACAAAGACCGCCTGTACGACCAATCTTGTGGATGGCAGATAAATTACAATGCCTGGAGGCGAGCGAGTTGGTTTTGGGGCGCTTTACCCTTTTATATTGGGTGATAATCCGTGCAAGCCGCCGCTCAACTCTTCCATGTTTACCGTCCACCACAGGAGGCATGTCCGTCCTTTGTTCCCTGGCGTTCCTGTACGCCACGTCTTCTCTCGGATGGCGCACATACCTTTCTTTGTCAAGAATTGACATTGATGAAGACGATTTGGGGGACGAATCGATGGACATCGACGAACCCGTTTCCGATGGCACCCCCATCGTGCTTCCCCTCCCGTCGTTACCATCACCCACCCTCGACCCCGTCTTGCTGGCCTCTTGGACGGGCCTTGGTGCTACACAGCTTTTTGCCTGCACACTCGAATGGCTTGTGTCATGGCTGCCTTTTTTCCACCTGCTGAAGGCCATCTTCATCGTCATGCTTGCCCTTCCCGAGAGCAACGTACCCCATCTCCTGTTGACGCGTGTCGTGGCGCCCTACTCCGAGGCACTCACCATTTTTTGCCAAAATTACCTCTTTCCCGAGCTCATTCAACTCATCATATCCATGCCACAAAATTGCCTGGACTTCTTCTTCCCTGTCTCCCATGAGGGGCAGCACTATAGCGGGCCGTTCCTGGCCAGCCCGCGACACCAACGTCAACAACTATACGCCCGGCGCCGCCGTTCTTCCCTCATGTCTTCACAATCCTCAAAGCCAACCCCATCGCGGGTACGAACCAGCCCGCCGCGTCGCTCGTCCGTGTCTGCAACCCCCTCACCTTCCCGCCCAGTGCCCGAAGCCCTTCTCTTCCCTTCCCCTTCCCCTCCTCCCTCGCCGGTTGCGAAGTCTTCTCCCACATTTGGATGTCCATCGCCGCACAAAACGCCCCCACGACGAGCCGCATCGCCCCTCAAGCCTCCCTCGCAAGCATACCGGCCATCACCGCCCCCACCCCCCCGGGAATGTCCCATTCCCGGGGAGGGGGAAGTCTGCTTGCTGTCGACCCCGCGTCCTCTATCACCACCAGGCGGGGAAAGCAATGTTCAACCAGATCATATCCACCAAACACCTCCCGCAGCGCGACCTTCACCACCGCCCAAGCCACAGCACAGGCGCTCGCCCTCCCCGCCCCCCCCTTCCCCCCCGCGCCCCCT